ACACACACGTGCTCAGGCGCACACACACAGAGCTTAGCTTCTGGGCACAGGCGCCGTCCTCTCCTGGCCCCCTTCTCCCCGCGCCCGGGCCTCTCTGCTCCCCCCCGCCCTGTGCCCAAGTCAGGGTCCCGCACGGGCAGTGTGGGTGGGCCCTCAGCCCCCCGCCCACGCTGACCTGTGCCCGCGCCCGTGGCCTTGGCTCTCCTCTCCGCTGTCCCGACCTGACTGCGGGAAGGGAGAAGCCCACCCCGGACGGGGAGCCTGCAGAGACCTGTGCAGACCGGGGGCTCCCTGATGGCAGTGACCGTCGTCCGTCCCTCTGAGGCCGTGGCCCCGCCGCCCCTCCTCAGCCCCAGGACACAGATGGTCCCCAAGGGATGGGCACCCAGCGGGAGCTGAGGGCCGCACCCCTGCCCCAACTCGACAGGACTCTGGCCTTCAGCCCTGCCACGCCCCTCCCCGCCCCCGCCCGCCCCACCCCCTCTCACAGCAAGAACACTCCACATTTGTGCCCACGACGCTGCCGGTAGGCCACCCAGGGGCCCACGAGCGGCCGGTAGGGCTGGAGACTGTCCGTCTTCTGCAGCCTCTGCACGTCCTCGGGCAGCATCAGGTACACCATGCGTGTCCCTCCCACGTCGTATCTGCGGGACAAAGCTCGGGGTCCTGCGGGGGCGCCGAGTCCTCCCCGGGCCTCCCTCTGCAGGACCTGTCCCTTCTCCAGGACGGGGGCCCAGAGGGGGCCGCTCCTCCCGCTGTCTCACCGCAGCCTCCCCTGCTCCACTGTCAGTGCTCTGCGGTCTCCGCAGCCAGTGGGGGGCGCTCCGTCCTCCCCGAGAGCCACAGTCTCCAGGGCCCGGCACAGAGCACCCACCCCTCAGCTCCCCCCCGCCCCCGATGCAGGTGCGCCCTCTGGGGCTCCGCAGCCAGTAGGGAGAGACTGCTGGGTGCTCCCACTGAGGGGGGCGGGGCGGGCTCTACCTGAAAATGGGCCCCAGCTCCTGGAAGAGCCGGTGCAGCTCCAGGTGCAGGGTCTCCAGGCCCCGCTCCCTCCAGATCTGCAGCAGCCTCGCCCACTTGCTGCCGGGGCAGCGGGGGATGGCTTCGAAGGGCAGCACCGCCTTGGGGGCCGCAGTGGCTCCGGTGCCCAGCGCACCTGCCCTGCCCGGGGACGGCCAGGGCCCGGCCAGCCACGCCCGTGCCTTGGCCCCGAGTGCCATTCTGATGCTCCGGCAGCCCCCGGCAGCGCAATCCTTTTATCTGGCTGGAGGCCCGGACCCACGACTCTATCACGTCATGGGAGATGTTGTCCCTGGACCAGGGACAGGAAACCGGGGACAGGGGTCAGGGCTGGAGGCCTCCAGAAGAGATGGATGGGCGCCTTGTCCCACGATTACCCAAGCCTTGCTGGCAGCTGTGTGTGGAGAGCAGGGGCAGGGGCTGGGGCCGGATTGGGGGCTGAACGCGGTTGGTGGGGATTTGAGCCCTTCCCTCCTCCCCGGTGGGGGAAGGGAGCAAGATGGAAGGGGCCCCTTATCTATCCAGAGTAACGCCCCTCAAGGCTGTTGTCACGTGCCAGCTTTCCATGTCCTGGCCCGTCCTCCCTCCAGGAAGATGGTGAGGAGGGGCACCTGAGGCCAGCCTCCCTGCCCTGCTCCAACACGGAGGTGCCCGAATTCCGGGTCCAAGGAGCAGGCCCCAGAGGAGCCTTCTTGCAAAGCCACTTAGTTGGGGCTCACACCCGAGGGCTGTGGGGGCCGCTGCTCCCCAGTCCCACAGGCTTGGCAGGCCCTGCCTGGGGGCTTCCTCTGGGGAAGGCAGTCCTGTGCGGAGGCCCGGCCAGGGGGTAGGGGTGGAGAAGGGTGAGGCAGAGCTGGGGGTCAAGGCCGGCCTGGCCCCAGACCACAGAGGGCGCCCACAATGCAGATCCCCAGGCCTGGTGCCCCCCCCCCCATCTGCGAGCATGGCTGGCGGGTGTGGAATGGAGAAGGACATGGGTCAGGGGCAGAACCAAGCAAGGCCAGGGCGAGGCGTCCCTGAATATGGGGCGCGCCCCCAAGGTCCACTGTCAGGAAGGGGTACGGTGAGCCGAGGGGCCAGACCTGCTCTCTGCAAAAGAGCTGGGCTGTGCGGTTTGCTGGGAGCATCCCGGGCCCGCCTGCTTCCTGCCCTGGGTTCATCCTGGGTCCTTCCTGCCCCCATCCCCAGAGACTGAGCCTCACCCCACGGGGCTCCCTGACTCCTCCCCCTAGGCTGTGGGCCTCAGGCGCAGACGGCGGAACTCTTGTGCGCCCCCTGGAGGCCTGCAGGCCAACTGCAGCTGAGCCTCGGCCCCGCCCACAGAGGGCACCGTCCCCCCCCCCCCCCCCCC